CCTCTGAGGCTGAAACAGTTTCCGACCGACCGCGTCCAGCCCGTAGTCATGGCGCAAGATATGCTGCCGACCTCCTGTTCTTTGATGCCCTCCGTGAAGATGAACCCTCACACGGAAGACAGCGTGTTTATCGAACGTGGTCAGCAACAAGAACCGATCGCTATCATATGCAAAAGCATCGACTACTCAAAGGATAAGACTTAAATGTCGCACCTTTCAATTAACTGAGCGCTTTCGCATTGAAGTTCAATCATGCGCCATTGGCCGGCCCTCCATACGGTACGTGTCCAAAACGCTTATCAAGTAATTTGTGGCACAACTCGCTGAAATGAGCGAAACATGGCTGATCCACCTTCCAGCTTCACTGCTTCTCAAATACCTCGTCGCCGGTGATCATATGGTACTGATTATTTAGTTCATTTACATCGTTGCGTGTGACAAGTGCGGAACCTCATGTTGAATACCTCAGCGTCTATGGATAAATCGGTTGTCGAGTTCAAGGAACGGACGTTACTGCTATTGCAATACGGTCCAACAATTACGCTGATGAGTCAACGTTCGAGAAGCAGATGGCACTGTTGAGGAGTACGGAAAAAGCGAGCGTGGTCCACAAAACTACAATAACATGTAGACAAGGATATGTTTTAGCGTGGAGTACTTAAAACGGCGTACTGTTACTCGTTCCTCGTTCAGTAACCTCGTTCAGCGATCAGAGTTTTTTGTCGACGAACGCTCCTTTCATCCGTCTCTGCAATTGGAATTTGACGAAAGTGGCCGTGGCTGTGGCCGTGCCGTGGGCCACCTGTTCGACGGCTGTCGAGGAGAGCGCCGGTAATGCCATTAGCCAACGGCTTTAGCACGTCACTTGTTCGGTCCATTTACGCACAAGGGACACGTACAGCTACACAGATCTTCTGAAGCGGCAGATGGAGCCATGTGCCACACTCTTCAAGTAAGTAGCGGCGGATGCAAGATGTCTGTCGCGGTCGCGGTTTCAAGGAGAATAAATATTATTTGACAGAGTTTTTCTGTGTTGCAGTGCCCGTTAGCTGAAGCGAACCAAAATCTAAATCTTACGGAACTGATAACTGGCGACTGTGCCGAAAAGCAATAACACCATCTAATTCACTTTTTTAAACAAAGGATAACTTTACTAATGATGGATTCATAAACGTCATAACAAAGAGCTTCGGTTTCCGGAACGGAAGCGATCATCAGGGTAATAAAACAATTTTAAATGATAGATTTTTGTAGTATTAGGGGATATGCACATTCACAAAGGTTTCCAAGCAGCTTTGACAAAAAGTTGAGTCGAAAAGGATGCAGTTGAATAAAGTGTTAATTTCAAAGAGTAAGCACGTCAAAAAGAAGGATGGGAATCACACAAGAGCCTTCGGACAGAACAGATATCCATAGAACTCGCGTTGTGTCGTACATCCATCGCTTTTCGAATGAACTGCGCAGCTATTCTTTAAACAGGAGCTCCGGTTTGCCTCTACTGTTGAACGTGGTTATTTTCGCATCTTGGTGTTTCTCCATCCTCACTTCGAGGGATGCTTATGTCATTCCTACCTAAATCCAATCACAGTAAATTTATAAACTTCGTCTGAGCTAACTGTGAGGTTTCACTTGTCACAAAATCTGGAACCCACTGTGATGGGTTTTGAAAATAAGTCAGAAGCCTTATTTTTGGAGGTTGCTGCAAAATATGGGACCTGAAGGGAATGGAGCTTGGAGATTACTGCAGTTCCAGCCTTTTGTTGGGACCATCTGTTGGAGGAAGAAGATGGAAGTTAAAATAATAAATGAGCATCCACCTTAGCGAAATATTTGTCCTATAAACTGAAATCGTTAGTTACCTGATCAACATAAAATTTTATTAAGATTGTATTCTTATTTTCTGAATATTATTAGGCCAGATGATGCAGGGTGTATTACAGATAGAATGTAATCTGATGTTAGAATGCTGTGGAAGTAAGAACTGAGGCTGTTACTTTAAATTTCTACTTATTTGAAATGTAAACTAAGAGTAGTAGTCTTTCTATGCTAGGTTCCATTTGCATAAAAAGTTGAACAATACAGATGGCTGGGACAAACTTTTCTTGTAAAATTTAATGAGATAAAATTTATATTGCAAACACGTATAGATCCTTTGAAGTGAGGAATAAGTAACATCGGCAACGAATCGTTTAGTGCGGGCGGAATCGTTTAGAATACTCTGACATCGTCACACATGCTTAGAATGCAAGCACAATTTCAAAGATCTCTTATTTCGGGGTGTCGGCAAAAAAGACAACCAAGGGTTCATTACGAAAGAATCATGGCATGTTTCACTTTTCATATTTTAAAGGATGTGTAATAATTCCACTAGTTCAGCGGATGTTGGTGTAGCTGCAAGTCCTTGACGCCATTCCCACCATTTTTTAATTTCATTTCTCTTTAAAGCTAACGCTTCTCCCGTTTCCTTTTATTTCGTTCCCGTTGATAATTACCTTCTGAAATATTTATCAAGCGCTGTATAAAAATTTTTCTGTACTTACATATCGCTTTTATACGATAAATCTATTTCTGAAATTTTTGTATTACCTTGATGATGGCTTAAGTTCCGGAAGCTCAAACGTTGGATTAAAATTAAAAAATCCGCCACGACTAAGCCGACAGATCGCTGAAAAAGTGGGCATGATTCATTTCGCTGACGCCTACTAAACTCTCGACTATGTCCCCTCGTTAAGATGTTAAACTAAAACAGCCTTCATCGTGGATAGTTGGTTTACTCCATTGCAAATAGTCTATACTCAAATTTGCCCGATGTTCGGGATCACACAGAACCTATCTTCGTTCACCACGGCGTGCAAACAGTTTCGAAGAAGAAGCTAATAGATTTTCAAGTGTTTTATAAACCGTTTTTCAGCCATATAGTCGCTAAAGCTGGATCAAGCGTGGTCAGAATGAAACTTGGAGGAAATTTCATATAAGACGTGTGGAAGGAGAATCCTCTCCAGTGACTCTCAGTCATCAATTAAACCTTATTGGCTTATTAGTTTGCGTAACTAGCGTTGCTAATAACACATGCACAATTCACTGCTATTTCGACAAACGCAACAGTCTCTAAAATGGATGCAGTTCAGTTCTCAGACATACTGTACGGATGTTCTGACGTGTACTTTTCTGAAACCGTCATCCTTTTCGGTCACGCTGACTTTTCGACAGAAACAGCATAACTGAACTGCGGTAGACTTCTTGCGTAGCTGTTATTTATGCCAGCATTCTGTGAACAAGTGCTTAAGATCTTGACGCAGAACGAGTGACGAAAAATATCCCATACCTCAGGTCAATTCTAAAATCTGTAGGCAACTCATTCTATCGGTTCGTCGTCAGTGACGCTGCTAATCCGGGCGATTAACATAACGGCTAACATTAGGACCTTATATTCTTTGCTGCGTAGTTCCCCATGTATCACAGGGATAGCGAACACCGAACAAAGCAAAAGGCAATCGTAGACAAAGAGCAACACCACATTTTTGGTACAGGTGTTGGCAGTCTATGCAACCGGAGTCAATAGTATGAAGCTCCCGAAGCTATAATAAACATTGACCTCATACGATGAAGAGTCAAGATAAAAATTGAATGTGTATGTTGAAGTAGTGTTCTGTTGTGATGAAAAGTTCCAATAATATTTTTTAAATCATCTACCCGCCGGAGCATGCAGATACCATCAGATTATACATACTTATATACATATATAGGTGCCTCCTACAGACTGCATGTGAACAAAAGAACATGGCTTTTCTTTCGTAAGTGAAATATTTTACCTGCACGTGCCTTCTTTTGCTTCTTAGAGTACGGCTTCATGATCGATACAGGGAGCTTTAATCGATCTTCACATGATCTGCATGAGTGGACACTCCAACGGAGTATATTATATCGCATATTTGCCTGAAGATATTCAACTTTCTTATCAGACGGCCGCCCATGAACTTTCTTAGGCAGTACTGGACTACTAAATTTAACGTAATACTACTTCGCTCATTTACATATTGGTCCTTATGTCTGGCATGCAGTTGCTCCACAACGCTGATAAGAGCATGTAGTAAGTAGTAAATTATTTGATCCTTTGAATCAAATTGATCATTTCAGTGAGATTTTCGAAACTGCCAAAGTCGTTGCATATACCATAATCAAACCTGGACCAAAATTTAAATTGGAACTATTGTTTTAATTATATTGACGTTTATAAAACTTTTACTGGAGTTTAAGCTAATTGGATTTGTTTAATTGATACTGGCTTAATTTAATTTTCAATGAACTCACTCTTAAGAGTCCCGCCTTCATCTGCGAGAAAAAAGATAAATCACTGGGATAAAGTAATGTACTGGGCGTATTGTTAAAAGTTACCGTAGTCGGTCACAAATGAATCCCGAGATGGTAGGCTAACGATGTTGTGTGATAATCAGGTACGACTGAGTACCATATGTTCTTTCAGCTAGCACCAACGGCAAACCCATAAGGATAGATTTTGACCGGGATTGTCCTCCGCGTTATTTCTTGAAAGAACTACACCGATAGCTGTTCGTCAGCCGCTCTTATAAGTGAATAATAAGAACTCATGGGCAAGACGTACAGAACCTGTTGATGATTGATACCAGTGAATAGAAAAACATAATACAGTCCCCATCGTTGGATTGCCAGGACTTGGAAAATTCAGTGTAATTGCATTGTTTCATGTTACGCGTTCATCTCTTCATCCCTCTGAATGGAATATGACCGTTTTTGTTGCAGTTAGTAAAGATAGGTAATAAATGAGATAGATGCAGTAAGTAAGTGAGAGACTACGCATTGAAATTTGTAAATCAGCTTAGCAGTTATGACACTGCTTATCCCCACAGCTAAACATGTACGAACATTTGACGGATCATCAGGAGAGGCGATTTGTGTAGCGCTGTCACAACTTTTTCCTCAATCGTAATCTAGCGTCAACATGATATACTCAAGAAGAGACAAACCAATTATTTTCATGGTAGCTCAAAAGCACCAAATGCCATTCAGACTGAAATAATACTGCAAAATCGCAATTGAGTTGCTCAGTTAAGCGAAAAGTCCTTGCTTACACCGAACGTACCCTACGCAGCGACTATGCTGCATATCGCTCTAGGATAAAAAACCTGGTTCCACAGGCCGGGGGCAAGGAGGTCAGGTCGAAACTT